AGAATGCCACCGGAGAGTTCGGACGCAATGGGTCGTTACCAAATATGATACACATCCAAGTTTACCGACCGCGCAAGCGACGCAAATCCACGAGCCCGTCCATCAGTGCCAAATAATACACAGCAGTTCTCTCGAGAGGCCCAGGAAGAACCCCGCAACCGGCTACCCAAAAGCGCCAACCTAGTGATACCCCAGGGGGCAAGCGATGGCGACAGAACCCATACTGTGCTTCAAACCAATTCACCCCGACGACAAAACCAACACACAACAGAAATCCCGCAACCTGAACAGTCCTTTCACTCAAGTTAACTAACCGCCCCAAAGGTCCCGACTAATAACCCCACTGCATCCACCGTCGTGAACTAAAAAAGGGGGGGTTTTCTCATTCTTTTTTTTCAGACTAACTTAGAGGTATCCATTTTTTTATTATTTTTTCCCCCCTTCACACCCCCACGGGATCCCCGACCCCAATCCTCGCCCTGTACCACGCTCCCCATCCGCCGGCCCGGTCAGCCACAACAACTACAGTATTCAAGCCCTAGCGAGTGAGTGCCGATGACCGACGAGACTACCGAGATGACAATGTCATTACTATAATAATACCAGTACAGTCACACCCCGCTGTCCCGGATCTCGATAATACGGATACCTCGCTGTCCCGTACGAATCTTTGTGAACTCTGAATTTCTTTCCACCAAAGCCTGACCCGTTGTCCCGGATCCCTCGCTGTGCCGGACGGATTCTTCAGATTTTGGCCGTCCGGGATAGCGAGGTGCGACTGTAATGAAAAGTAACGTCCGGGTAGAAAATTTCCGCAGACGTTACACCTCTGAACAGTGGTCCTGCCTTTAACGGAACAGCCTTCATTTAAAAATGAAGGGGAAAAACAATATCTCCGTGCTATAGGTACCCGGTAATAATAATATAAAGTGTACAAGTGCGCCGGGATGATGCCTACTCGCTGATCAGACCGGGGGGGGGAGAGGAGGTCCAACCGCCGCGATAATATTGGCAGGAAATTTTATGGTATCGAACCGGTGCCCCGGCAGGTGGTGTAGGTAGTGGGTACCGGTAGGTAAGTCGGTGATACGGTACATTGGCACCTCGGGCACAGTAACAGCACTGGATGCCGAAACTGAGATGGGAGGGGAGGTAGCGTATCACAGCCATTCGGGAGAATGTATTCTCAAGTGAGAGACCGAAACAACTTCGTCTAGGAGGAGGGGGGGAGGGATTCATCTAGTACCGGGTTTTGCATTGTTTCCGCTAAATTATGTTTTTATCGTGATTTCCTAGTGGATCGCGGGAAAAGCAGATGTGACATCTTACACGCCACGCCTTTACCTCGGACGTGATGCTGGCCAAGATTAGGTTTATTGGCAGCCATCATAGGATATTCCTCCCGTCACGAGATTTTCCATTCCTCCCTCCTCATTCCTTGCTCGTTCTCTTGCTTCGTCAGGGGATTTTGGTTCTTTGTTTTCTTTTCTTTTCTCTCCCTCATTCGCATCATGCGAGTGGAAGAAAGTAAAGGTAGAAATAGCTGGAAAAAAACGGTCCAGTTCATTTGCTGTACTCGAGTACAGTAACGACATATGTTCCCGCCACCACACAGATTCCCAGGTGGACGCACACGCAGACACGCATACGGAAACTCGATATCCACCCCGGTACATTCCATACCCTACTTCTCGGTTTTTGATGAAGAAGCTCAAAAACCATGGTGAAATGTCAAACCACGCTCCTGCTCATTCTCCTCCAAGGGGGTACTCAACCCCGAGGCATTTCCCGAGAAAATCCATGAGGAGCGCATTGCAGAGGGGAGGTGAGGGAATTGTATGGTGTGTGTGCGCATGTTCTCGAGTAGGTGTGTGCATCCTCACACAACCTCCGGGCACTCCACCCCTCCCGTGCGTTCCGACTCCCCATTTGGGAGGAATGATAAAATGCGTGCACAACCACATATGGGTGTCCCCCCAGCATATCCCACCAGACTAAACACCTAGAAACATATTCCACCTGCCCTCCTTATTCACTTCCGTCGATCATACAAAAAAGCAACCATGTATCAAGAGAGTGGAAAGTGTAAGGAAGCTATATATGTATGTGCTCGAGCAGGAAGTAAGTAAGCAAGCAGGTAACATGATAGATCGCGCAGCTCGATATGAATGGGTTGGTTGGTAAAAAAAGAGAGGGGGGGATATGTTTACAAGAAAGGAAAACCAACCATTCATGATACCGCATGTCCAATTGTCAGGGCTAACTACGTGTTTCTTGATTACCAGACTCTCTTCCCATTACTCAAGTGCTCGAGCACACTGATCTGCCGTTTGGTTGAACCAAGCGCTGATGAACACCAAATTAGCTGCCGCAGAGACGCAGACGAACCCCCCCTCGTATGAGAACTAAGGTCAGCGATGAACGTGGCAGGGACATGCATGGGTAGGTTCCACCAATCCTTCACACTTTCCTGGACTTGTTTAATGGATGAACGATATGACGGGTCCGGAAGCCCTGACTATGTTCCATGTCTATTATGATAGGATATGGTATCAGTATTATATTATAATATTATGGACGTGCGTCAAGTGCGCCAGGCAGCCGGCGAGAAAGGAAACGGGAGGGAGTGCAGCCTGATATAACAGTCCAACCTCTCAACTCACACCCCTAGCCAACTCACCGCAAGTGCGGGGAATGGGTGTGAGGTTCTTCGGCTCAGGTTATGCTAGTTTCCAATGATATACCACGGAAGAGAAACCAAAGTTATCCCCGGACAAGCGCCCCCTTCCCCTCCAGAAAAGAAGAAAATAAAAGAAAGGGAAAAAAAGGGAAACCCTCATCTAGTACCGTAGTGGCCATTGCATGATACGATAATGCGCATATCATAACGAAACACCTCTACCACCCAGTCAGTAAACGTGGCTATACCTTAGCTAAGCTCATACCCCTCCTCAATGGTTCACCAAGGAAGGTTCCATAGCTTGCAATACGGTACTCAAGTCTCGACCACCACCGCCTACCGAATGATTCGGAAAAAGAGAAGAAAAAAGAAAAAATTGCGGGGGGGGGCAGGAAAAAATGGTCTCAGACATCAAACGCTATACTCGATACATACCGTGGTCCGCAGACCAAAACAACAAACCTAAATAAGGTAATTGAGACAAGCTGAAAAAAACACGATATCTGGTAGACCAGCACTAAACCAGGACACGGCCCGATCATCCAATGAAGCCATCTCCGGTACTCGAGTATTCTAGGTATGCCATACCACGCCACGCACAGTGAAGCCCCAACCCTTCTCGAAAAGACTAATGTCCTAATTTTTTAAATTTTCCTTCTTGCTTTCTCTTTCTCTTTCACCCCATTAATCATGGCTGCCATCGTCATGTCACCCAAGCGGAATGAGCTCCGCTCCATTCAATACAGTAACCGCATAGCAGGAGGAAGCAGGAGCAGAAGGAGGAGACGCAGAAGCAGAAGCACCCCGCAATCTCCACAAACACTCCCACCCGCCCCTCCAAAAGTTTCACCATCATCGCCATCACCATCACCATCACCGCCATCACCAACATAATCACCAATGGAAAAACTGACTAATGCACCCTGCCATTCATATTCCCCATTCTCCTCCCCCTCCGACGCGAGGAGTTGAGAGTAAAGGAATGGAAGGGAAGGGAAAGAAAAGAAGAGAAGAGAAAAGCTCTCCTCCTCCTCCTCCTCCATTGCAGCCAAACCCACTCACTCACTTACCACATCGCAGGGGTGCTCACACGCTCGCTCCTGGCCTCCAAACGAAACCCCCAAATATCCCACTTGACATACCCATCCATCCATCAAACCGCTTCACGTGCCTATCTGGCCGAATCACAACGGCTGGCATCGCTTCTCGGGTGATATACCATGATTGAGGAACTCGTGGGAACTCCCGCACGTCCCGCTGCGAACCTCCCATTTATCTTATCATACGTGCTCCGTAAATTACCCCCACCCCTACCAAGAAACTCAGATTCCCAGGCGAAGACCCCCAATGGCGTAACGCCCGGCGCGTCGAGCGAAAATCCAGCGCAATTAAAAGAACTACGGTGCCGTAAGTACGGTCGGGGGGATGACGGGTAGGTGAGAGAAAAAGAAAAAATCCCGATCATTCCTAATTGTAACAGCAACCCTCCTAACAGGTAAGCACCGTGCAAAGAGCTGGTGAAGAAAAAGAAAAGAAAAAGAAAAGGCCAACTAACGGGCCATCATACCTTACAAGTAACCACCGGTGCCCCCCCCCCTCGGGAAAGCCTCCCCTGCCCGAGACCAACATCAACTTTGGTTGCCCGGGGATTCGACGACGATGGATACAATACAAGTAAGCCACCGCATTATTGGGGAAAGAGGGCTCCAAACGCCGATCGATGGGTGGATGGGTGGGTCGGTGGGATGCGGTGATGGAGGAGATCTATCACCAACCGCCTGGGGTCGGGACGGCTGCGTACGGTGCTAGACTATTCACGGGTTATCACCCAGGATAGGTGGGAGTTTGTTCTACGGTAGTCCGGAACACGAATACAGTACGCAGACACCAATATAAAATACAACACATCACCCAGGCCATCTGCAGTTATAACGAGGGGTGGGCTTCTAGAAACGCCGCCGTAGGTCGAAAGCGATAAACATCATTATAGTAGTCTGCTTTGCCTACTTCTACAGCATATTAGCTAGGAAAGAAATTTGTATCTTAGAAATCATCCAGCAGAGAAAGGAAAAAAAAAAATAGTATCCAAACTCAATCATATGCTATCAGTTATCACTTTTTATTTGAGATTTCAAAATATAATAATTATGAAGGCTACAATTAAATGTGGTTCAATTACAGCTCTCCCGCCGCCCCCAATTCAACAAACATAAGTTACAAAGAGGGATATTGGAAGGAGGGGAAAAAATGTCCAAGAGGAAGACAAGAGGGAAGAAGAAAAAAGGTAGCTTGAGAAAAGAGATATCAGTTAAAAGGAAAAAAAAAAAAAAACCTCTATATTAAAGCCTTCCCTATTTTAAAATTTTGACATCAAGAGATAGAAAAATATAAAATACTCCCCACTACCACCAGCCCTCTCCCAATCAGTTCGTCACCTCATGATCAACCCATCAATCTTTCGATAAACAAAAAGAAACCGAGAGGGGAAAATAAACTATACAAAGAGGCTGTACCTTATGTATGATATGCATAAATACTGGACACAGCACCCTCCAAAGCTCACCCGTAGAATAACGAGACAAAGAGAAGGAAGCTGGGAATAAAAACGATTTAAAGGGCAAAAGAAAAATAAACAAAGATGCATAAAGGGCCTTTAAGGCGCTGTGAGACAAGATAGATCGTCACTCTGTAGCGACGAATAGCAGCGGACAGTCGACAAATTCCAGCAAGCAAAGGGGTGGCTAAGAAAAAGAGAACCACGATAACCAATGATGTTGATGACCCAAAAACTCCTGAAAAGACCCTAAAATCCCTGGAGAGATTGAAAAAGAAGTAAAACTCCAGCGGCCTAAAGTAGTCGAAGCGAAAAAATGATATTAAGCACTAAACCAATCCCATAATAAAGGATGGTCTAGATATCCAATTTATATGAAAAACAGCCCCGTCTATGATGCGGTTCCGTTGTTATATCTCCGGCTCAGGCTTCTCTCGATACCCGAATGACCGTTCCTCTCATCCTCAAGAATATCGCCGGCGACCTCGATATACTTCTGCGTACGGATAAATTTGGGAACAGAATCCTATTATAACGAAAGCGAGTCAGCTGTCGTTTTTAAGCGCGAGATCACAAGAATGCCTACTCCTGCCATGAGTTTGAACACTTGTTGTTGCGCTCGGTCAAAAAGAGCGGCCACCTCCTTCAAACTGGAGTACATTGCATTTTCGTCCTTTGCAACAGCTCGGGTCATTCGAGAGGCCATGTCTTGTCGAAGCGTGTGATCGATATTTAATTCGCATGGGGATCCAGGGGCAAGGAATGCGTTGTAAAGGCCTAAGCAACAGAAAAAAAAGTATTCGGTCAGCGTCCAGATTTCGTAGATGAAGGCCAACAGGGAGATGGAGTTATTGTGCAGTCACCGAGTAAACCGGTTTAGGGAGAGCACTACCAGAAATCAAGTGCGCGATGGCGGCCATCTTCTAGAAACAACAAAAGTAGCCAATAAAAAATTGTTTTACCTACCATAGGCAGCCGCTAAGGTTTCTCGCACAGCATCAGGTTTCGACTTATCAATTGCAAGGAAATTGTGATTGAAATCCTCAACATCCAGCCAGAATGACAGATTTTCCTCGCATACAGTTTCCCGAAGGTATTCGCGGAACAACAACCTCAAAGCAGCGTCGTTAAGGATAGCGGTCAGCCGGGTAGTGTTAGTCTCACGTTGATCTATATCACCAGTCAACCCAATTTATCCCTCTCCAGTGCATCCCCACACTCCCCGTGGGGTGGACACTTGCCTCTAGGGAACCCTTCCTCCCGGTTCCTACCTTTGGATGTGCCTCGTACGGAGTTTCCGTCACTTCCCCTATCTCCATTCTGCAGACTCAACCGGTCGCCATCAATCCATCCCGACACTCTCTTCCCTTTGTCGGTGAAAATGTAGATGGCATTTTTGGTCGGTTGAAAATCTTTTGCCTTTGGGTTAGCCTGAATGTAGGCCTTATCCTCAAAAGCAGACTGGACCAATCCATATTGTATGAACAGGTTGAGAATTTCATGAGTCTCACTCCTCTCTACCGTCGTACAACAATCGAGCAACCAATCCACCGCACATTTCCCAGTGAACGAGCTCTTAACAACCCTGTCACCAACTTTACGGGTCTCAGCAAGCTTGACGCCCGTAACGCCATCATGATACTCCGATACAGAGTCCGAATCGGAGATGGAAACATTAGCTTTGATGTTAGGAGTTGCTCCAGCAAACCGCCTAAAGATAACCTCAGTCGTGGTCTTGTCATGGGACAGCCTATCCGTTACTGAATCCCTCTCCAAAATAACCAAACGCATGGTGTTGAATGAAGACTGTAATAACTTTATTACATGGTCTTGTTGGATGCCATTACGCTGACAGAACCTCTCCAAAACATGAATCCCTTTGGGCGTCAATTGCCATAAAGATCCCTTTGGGGGGAAATAAATGGTAGATTTTCCGTCAGCCAGCTCAATAAATCGAGCATCCATAAATCGCTGACAAACAGAGCGAGCCATTTCCTTAGCCATCGAAAAAGTGGTTGTGGTTGTCGTGGTGACGATCCGAGTGTGATCCTTCGGATCGGGCATTCGGTTCGATTGAGAAAACTTCAACGAACCAAGATTGTTGATTGCCTCCTCAGAGGCAAAGCTGAAGGGGTATGTCTTGAAACGTATCCTGTGAGAAGATAACGGCAAACTAACCATCAGGGTAGAGAAAAGATCCTTGAAATCCTACAGTAGCGAAGGGAAAAAACACCAGTGTCAGTTAGTTGAATGGCTACAACAACAGCCGCCCGCCCGGGTCGAGGTGGGGGAGAAGGAGAGAGAGAGAGGGAGGGAGAGGGAGAGAGCCAGTGGAAACAAACAACAGGCGGAAAACGAAGGTGATGGGCAAACTGATCGGGACAAAAGCCTACCCTAGTGTACGGACGGTCATCCGCAGTCATCCGCAGTAATCGCGAACTTGTTTGATGCATTTTGCTGTTTTTAGGATTGGAGATTTCGTTATAGGTAGATCCGTCGCCGCGTAGGATCACCTTTGAAAGTTTAGCCAGACTTTGTTCGTTCGAGTCGAGCAACGACTCGGTGGAAGTAGACCTCGACCTTCTCAGAGTCGTATTGTAGCTACCACCCGAAAGGCTATAAAGTGAGAAGACTGAGGATCGAGAAAAATGAGAATGGATGGAGGAGTGTCGTGATGGTATTATTACGAAAAAAGTCGCTGCTGCTGCGGTGGTGGCTGCAGCAAGCAATGGTAGTAGTGATGGGTGCTGTAAAGGTGAAAGAGGTATTGGCAGCGCGGCCGGGTTTTGTCGAAGCAGTCTTGTGTGGGAGGAGGGGAGGGGGGGGGGAGAGGAAGCTGCAGTGGTTGCGTTTATGGTGGAGTTTGTGGTTCGGGTAAGGGGCTTTTTCTGGATCTATGTGGTGGATACTATTGGGGTTCTGTGTGAGGGTGTGATTGTGGAGGTATTCCAGTGGTGATGGCTTTGGTGATGGCTTAGATGGGTGGGCGAGCTCCAGAAATCAACGGTTGATGCAGCGAGAGAATCCCTAGAGGCGAGAGCGAGGGCTTTTGTCGACGAAGGATGCAAGTGAAGATAAACGATCAGAACCACGTGGCGATGGCGACGACTTGCGGGGGGGTGCAGCAGTACAAGTAGAAGTAGAGAGGGAAAGGCGGGAACTCCCTGAACCTGCGCAGAGGCAGAGGAAGAGAGGGAGAAGGATAGCTGCTTGTTTGAATTTTGGTGTGGTTGTGTGGTTGGAACGGGCATGAGTGTGGATTTGGTTGGGCTACTGCCAATACCGGCACTAACACTGCTGCTCCCTGTTCCTACTGTTTTACCACAACCATTGTCGGCAGTACCGGTACTTGCGGCTTGTAATTCGAGTTGTTACTGGTATTGCTTATGGCACCTCCGAGTACTGGCGGCGCTCGTCCTTGTTCGTTTTCCTCCTCTTCTTCTCCCGCCCGCCTACGCTGTTTGAATGGGGATGAAGAGATACCCGTAATGTCAGTTGCACCGCTGCTTCTTCTAGAAAATCTTCTACCTTCTCATCCGCCTCTTCCTATGGTTCTAGTTATTCCACCCCTTGCTACCTATTCCTGTTGTTCCTGTTGCTATCTCCACTCTTGTTCTGTCGCTACTAGTCTACTGTCGTTGCGGATCCTGTTGCTAATGGTGGAGGGGTTGGTGGGTCCTGCACTTGCTTCTAATGGTGCACCACCACACTCATGCTGCGGTCCTAGCCCCCGGTCCCGGCCTCTCTGGGCGCTCTTCTCTTTGTCCCGGGATGTGCATCGTGACAACAGCAAGTGGCGAGCTCCGTCATGAACAACGCGCGCTACTAAATCTATCATACCATTAACGCCTCCCGTCGGCGCTGAGGTGAACTTCTCTTGCCTCGTCTTCTGTCTTGTCTGAAAAAGGCTTGAAAGATTTTTGGACGATCCTTCTGCCCTTTTCTCCTCCCTCTCCTCCACCCGATCCAAATGACCCGGTATTAAAAAAATCCGGAAACAAAAAAAATAAAATAAAATAAAATAGTAGAAAAAATAAAATGGGAAATTCAACCTATGACTTACTGGCCTCAACCTGTGCGGTATTGCCCTATTCCTGTTGTTTACTCGTGCACCGCTACCGGAATGAGCCTACTCTTCCAAGCCAAGCGGTTGCTTCCCTCGTGTTGCTGCTCCTAGGATTTCCGGAATCGCTGCCGAACGAAGAATCGAGAAAATTACGCTGGTAATCTGACCTGACCAGAGAATTATTATTCGCGCCCCCCAATCCCCGCTGAAATATAGCCCTTCCTCCGGGGCCAGCAGCGAGGCCTCCACTTGATCTCGAAAGGGGAAAAACACAACCAGCTCTAGAATCGACGTCTTTCCCGAACCACTATTAAGCAAGCCCGCCTTTCGACAGCTCTAAGCCGCAAACGGCAGATAGCAAATCTCCCGTATGGCACAATCTCGTGGTTAGAAAAAACAAATATAAGAAAGAACTTTTTTTATATCCCATTTCTCTTGCTCGAGAGTAAACGATTGGGGGGGAGATGTGGGTGTGAGTGAGGAGTAAGTGAGTGTGTCGTAGAAACAATAAAATTTTCCTCGGGATTGGTAAATGGGTTGGAAATGTTAGGATTGAGAGAGAGAGAATCAGTGAAATTGGGGAGCACATCCCTAAACGATCACCCTCTCTCATCCTCCTTCATGGATGACAGGACATGCACGGAGGAATTGAGCAAACAGCTCTCTCTCTCTTACCGGTGGATTCTCTCTCATTCTTCTTGCCTGGCTCCGTTTGGCGAGAGGGCCTACTTTACGGGGGACATGTGCGGTGATTCGGAAGAATGCTAGACAGGAAGTAGTTCCCAGTTCCAGCCAACGTCCTACCGTGACCTACCGAGTACCGACCCTTCAGTCTACCGCATCCTGTACCGGCACTTCCATTATTTCTCCCGTCTACGAACAACGATAGTCAGACTAACAATTACAAGGAAAGGAAATAAAACAACTCTCTCTCTCAAAAAAAAAATAGGGACACCACAAATGGACTTAAAGGAAAAAAGGAAAGAAACAACCTGTCAGCAAACCAAGCTGAAAAAGAAGCAATGGGGGGGGGGGCAAAAGAAGCAAAATGCAGAGGAGTAGGTAAAAAAAAAAAAAAAAAAGTGGGAGGGGGAGTGGAAATGGTGGGGGGAATCCAAGCCAGAGAAAACTCTCAACGGTTTTCCTATTCACAATGAAATCATTTTATGCGTTTCTCAGGCACAGCCTGATCCCCGATTTAATCTATGGCGCGTACTGGACATATTGCAATTGGATGTCATATTTTGCCCTTGTTTCCTTTACCTCTTCCTCAAACAGCTCTCCTATCCTCAGAGCTTTGCCTGGAAAAAACGACAAACTTGTCCTCCAGCCCGAAGATGCCTGCCGCTGCCGAACATTCCAGAGCAACTACCCGCCCGGAAAGGATACGGTCCTTGTACCAAGTGTAGACTACTCATACTTTACTTGTACGAGTACCCTACTCGGGTGCGAGTGCAGTCTTCAACGGGGGCACGACGAATACCGGCGGGTGATGAACAGGGATACCGGTAAGTTATTGGGAAGGGGGAAAGAAAAAATGGGTTCATCAGAGTAGGGTAACAAAAATAATACTTGTTACTCATCCCTGTTCGTCACCGGCCTATATTCATGGTTCCTCCGTTGGAGACTGCACTTGTACCTCTTAGGAGACTTCAACTTCTGCTGTGGTAGCCAAGGAAGCAAGTACAGTAGTCTGTGCACGCATAGGCGGCGAGCAGGGAATCGGGAAGGTCAGTCGGAAGAAGCGGCGGCAAGGATCTTAGTGTGAGGTTCAGAAGTTTTCACGCGGGTAGATGCTTTAAGGAGGGAAAAGAAAAAATGAAAGACTCAAACAACAAACGAGAAAAGGTGTTAGGTTCACACAGATTGCCGGCCACGTGGATGTTTGTTTGAGATCGTGTTATGGAAAAGGTGAGAATGGAGGGATCAATTGGAAGGCGTTGTTTTCTATTTTTCGGTCCACCTGGCAAGAAGAAAAGAAAGCAGGAAAGGAAAAGAAACAATAATATCAATCAATACAGCACACGTTTTTTAGAAACTTCCTCGAACGAATTGGGCAACGGTCAGGCATAAAGGGGCATACAAATACAGCAACAAAGGATTACCAAGATTAGATTAACAAGAGCCATGCACCAAGGCAAGACGCATCTCATACACGTGCTAGGCGAGGAAAAGTTAGGATAATTAGCAATTAAAAAAAAAGGTGGGGGGGAAAATTAATTTCCGGCAACAATGAAAAGAGAACAAAAGGACCATGAGAAAAAATCTTCCGAAGGAAATCATTTAACCTCGTGCTTACCGGTATTTCCGTTCCTTTATACATGTGTGAAAAATGGGGGTTTAAAAGGGGAGTTTGAGCACGAGTTTGGGATAGGGAATATAAGTGAGCAGATTGAACGGTTAGATGCTCGATTCATAAAAATCGTATCATAAGGTCTCTTTGTGCTCAGTACCGCAGACTCGGAATACCGTGAACTAGCGCTACCGGTATCAAATCACACGCCGAGGATTCCGATTACAGCCAAAATGGGACGGATCTTTGTGGTAATGGAATCATACGGTGCGCCTGTCGCCACAATACTCGCACCGTGGTGTGAACTCCATCCCTTTCGAGCAAAATCCCTTGTATGATAGAAGGGCCACGCTAGCGAACTGTACCCTATTGGATCTGTCGTGGCCTGTCACAGGAAAAATCGAAGCGGGGAGGTTAGTGAGGTGCACGGTAGACTAGTGAGGCTATCTCGAGATGAAACAGATAAAGAATCGAGGAGTAGAGAGGAAAGAGACCATCCGCTCAATCAATCAATCGCCCGGTCAATCAGCATATCGTATATGAGTACCGTATAGGTATGGATGGCATGTGGATACCCAATCATAGAAGTCTCTCAGGTTGCAAGAACAGCATCACGAAAAGATAGTGCGAAACTGAATGGAAAAGCGGTTGAGGTGTTCGAAAGGCAAACACCGCTGCAATCGTAAGGACGCCATTTTGAAACATCCTATGAGAAACTCCTTCTCCCAGGATAAACCCTGCCCATCATTTTTCTCTCAACTCGAGTACAAGTACTTGTACGAGTAAAATGCTCCGCATCATCTCGAATTACTATGGAGAATAGAGTAAAAAAAGCCATCCTCCACTTTCAACAGAAAAAGCAATTGAACTACCGGTACTCGAGTACTGCAATTGGAGCAGCCGGAGAGAGGGGGGTTTCTGGACCAACCTAACATGGGCCTTCTGTCTTTCTCTTGCTCTCTTTCTGTTCCAGCCAACCGCTCATTGAGTAAGGGGGAACCAATAGGGCTGTTATTGCCGCTAACCGTAGGATCCCTGAAGCCACGCGATACGCCGCGTGCTTTAGACATTCCTTTTTCTTTTTTTACTTTTCTCGCGCGACCCACCACACCCCTCCCCGCTCTTTCGTTGTTGCCTCGTGGAAGTCGTGTGGGCGGACTGAGCGCGTGGGGTCAAACATCGCAGACGCTGCCGAGCTGCTTGTATGTGCCGATAATCCCCGTCTTTCGGGACACTGAGCATGAGAGAATAGAAAATTGAGGTCCAGTTCCCTTCTGATGCCCCTCATTATTATTTTTCATATTAAATACCTCTCCGTTATACGTTCTCTTCGGCCGCTTTTTTTTTTTTTGCTCTGTTGAATTAAGGGAGGGGTGGCTAATTCGTTGGTTAGGGGGAGGGGTGCGTGAGTGGATGTATGCGGGTGCGGTTATTGTTATGCACGCATAGATCACGTTTTCCCAATGTGTGTGTGAGGAAACGAGAGCAAAAGTGTTCTCTGGATCGACTGATTGTGAGCGTGACAGGTTACAGGTTTATGGGACTCATACTAACCGTACTCGTACAAGTTGAGGACGGGATTTTTGATTTGGCCCCCGCGTCCAGCCCCCGGACTTTAGACAGATATCCTGTTCCCGGCGAGAATGGTAGGTAGGGGGAGAGGTTAGTAACTTACTCGGACACAAGTAAACCCCCCCCCCCATTCCTACCGTCTCTCGATTTGCCTTACTGAAGCGATATGAGGAAGGTATTAGCATCTCGGCTTCGGTGGAACAAGGAAACTTGGAAATTGGTGGAAGGAAGGGGACGAAAAAAGCCCCAACCGACGAGCGAAGGGAAAGCCAGGGTTACAAATGTTTCTGCTTAAACCCCGCATCACTGACAAGTGATGTGCTTTCCAATGATATGCCGCCATGCTCGGTTTCCAGCCCCATTGCCTTGCGCCGGGCGTTTGCTTTGCTGATCAGACACTGCGGGGAGTTCCCTTAGCGAAAGAGAGAACGACACTCGAATAGGGCGCACAGTATGCCAGCGGAGGACGAATAGAGGGGAGGGGAAGAGAACGGCGAGTATCCGGTTGGCTCTTTCCCCGAAAAACTGGCAATCCCAAACGAGCTTCTATGATACGCTATGCGGAAATTTTTGAAAGGTATCATATATCAAAATCAGACCACCCCACAAATCGTTATTCTGATATAGGCACGGATCCAGAATTGATTGCCCGATCAGAAGAGCATAGAACTCCCCTTCAGCTAGTGAGCACAAAGCCCCCCGTGTGTATGTCGGATCATTTATTATTCATTCATTTATTTTACTTTACAAGCAATTTAATTTTTACCTCCACTCTGTTTCGTCGTGCAGCTCTCTCAATCTCGCCAGCAGTTAGATGGGCTACCGTGCAGATATCGTGCTGCTAATGCAAGAATACGGTAGTTCTTGGATGCTCGGGTAGTGTTGGAGTGGGTGTATGACGGGACCATTACATCCCTTCGTCAGTTTGAGGGGAAGTTCGACAATATGTACGAGTACCGGTATCAGGAGCAGATCCTTGCTTACCTTCGTCAATTAGGCACATGGGTCATGAAGCGTGGCAGCGGCAAAGCTGATAAGCCGCTGTACTCGAGTACTCGGGTACGGTACCGGTACCGTAACGACACCCTCTGGTTGTCTGGTCTCACCATTCCCCCCTTGGCCTCTTCGAGTCATATTATGGCTACGTTTGCCTATAATTTTTGGGGTGCACCGAGATGCTCGAGTACCGGTATGTCACACCCCAGCTATCCCGGGTGGCGAGAGTTTGGAAATTTCGTCTGACACAGCAGGGGTCCGGGGCGAAAACAGAGACTCCCTATCCATCACTGGCTACATTTTAGTCAATATTTATAGGTGGTATAATCACCTCTAGCAAACTGCTTAAGTTTGTCTTCCTCTCCATCACTACTGGTGGTAGGCCTTATACAGCCTTGGGCCCAACGGATTATGATTTTGTACAGTGCTGATGATGTCCAATGTTGGGAACGGCCCCTTCTCCATTCTCCATCACCCTGTATTTTCCGCTTTGGGTGTAGTTCCTATGGTAGTGATCAGAACATCCAGCTCAGCAGGTCAACTTTCCAGAGGAACGGGAGAGAAATCTTACAAGAATATCGTACGAATCCGCAAACTCCCTTATCCGGTTCAACGAGTGAAACCCCGTGAAAATTCGGGGGTCAAAGATTTTGTATGATTCAGCAATGTATCCGGTCCAGAGCGATAGGGAATAGTGGGGTGCGACTGTACTCGTATGGCGTTAACCTTGGACTGATCATATTGGCACGATGTTGAGCAACTTCGACGTACGACTCATATAGGAGGTGTTGTATTAGTAGGGTAAACCTTCCTACATGAGTCTTTGACGCTGCTATCTTACTGCTCCAGAACCTTTATTCCCGAGAGAAATACAGGCATCGTGCCCCACCAGCCGAGCTATTGGTTAGCTGTTTTTGTGGCTGTAGTTTCCCTTGCCTTCTCAGAGCTTTTCCAGCCGGAAATGGAGCAAAACCGACGCCGATGCGAGGGGGGAGGGTGTCATTTTGATAACGCTAAAGCCCGGGCTTTTTTTCTTTCTGATATGGGTATGTAAGGTATGGTATCATGAGCGGGAGGAGTGTGTGGACGGTACTGAGAAGAAACGAAATACAACCACTACTATCGCAGACAGAATTGTCCACGATGAAGAGCAGTCGAAATTATACGTCCTAGGGAAAGTAAGATTCTACGATTGAGAGCTTATATGAAGTTTTCTGCAACCGGGGGCACCATCTCTCCACCCGAACTCCGTCGTTCCAGCGCAAGGACCGAATTTCTCGAAGAGATGCCGCTTTCCCACTACAGGCAACAGGTTCCCGAACACAGGGATTAAACGAAGTATCGGGAGTACGAGTATCGGTAAAGTGTAGTAGGGCCATTCCCCAAACGGAACCACAAAAACCTGGCCAGCTCCTCACCGGGGGAGCGCCGGACAACCAGCGGAGCAGTTTGTTCCTTGATAATTCCTAAGGGATGACGATAGGCACACCCGGAGTCCACGGAGAAGGCGTAACCCAAAGACATGGTTTATCCGACCAAACCAAGCCACAAAGCCCCATTTTGTTAGCTACAAGACGACTGTGCGAAGTTGGACTTTGGTCCAAAAATCTTACTCGTACGAGTACAATCTTACCCATAGAGCATGGTGGGCGGGGTTTTGACGGGCAAACCTCGATTTTTCTTTCTTTTTTTTTTTTTCCCCTCGACCTTCATTCTCCTTGCTTCGCCTACCGTACTCGAGTACTGAATTGTGTAGTCGAGGCGGTTTCGGGAGCCGTAGTGCTGTTGGATAATGCATCCGTGACCGTGAAGGGGGGAATTTCTGAAACAATACTGGTGCTGTACGATAGGCTACCCTCCGGGACTAGACGTGACTACTTGCAAAGATTCAATTTCAAAAAACGTGGATGGGAGGGATATCTGGTCTGGAGATTGTCAGGATAATATTCCTCATTCCAGCCTTAGTTCCGCCAGGGATTGGAGGGAAATAAAAAAAATAAAAATAAAAACGTGCGCATCACACCATACCGGTACCGGTAAAGTAATTTAGGGATATTCAACCACGTGGAATTCGCGGATCTCGTTGAGGTTTGCGACGGTGTCCGTGAGCCTCCCTCCAAGCAGCCTCTCAGTGCAATATGTGCTCACAGCGCTGGGATCTCTCACAACACCAACAAGAAAGACAACATGAGGGTTCCCTGCCACTCTGACCACGATGATAATGACCGCGTGGTGAAAAGAAAAAAGGATCTACCGGTTATTACACAATATCATACAATCCAGCCTCCAGCGGAATAAACTATTGGCGTGCCTTTTTTTGGTTGGTTCCCGGGAACATGATTCTCACGATATTCCTGATGGGAACTCGCACCTTGCGACCCGACTTCTTAGGTTGTGGTTCCGTTGGGGAAAAGCCCTAAACAGACTCGATGCCACATCCAACCCAAGGGCAATTGAGGGGTATCCCAGTGACCATCACTACGAGTACTGTACTGTACTTGTACTTGTACTGTATTTGCGCCCTTGGTCAAACACGGGAAGCAGCTTTCTCCCACACTCATTCACTCTCCTACGAGTCGACACAGCCATGTCCCTTCCGTCCGGAAACTCCTTTCCCGAACACCGTACTGGACCCGGCCTGCTGTGCCGGTATGAAAGCAGAGAAAGATGAACCGGCCATCAAGAGTGCCTCCCAAGCAAGGTTGGCATTACTTAACCCTTTTTCAAGTTTTCCCCCCCGTCACAGTCCTCACCAAGGGCACGACGAAACAGGGAGGGTGGTGAGCAGGGATCGTTTATGATACAAGGATATTTTTTGTTACCCTACCGGCACTTTGACGGGTTCACTCTTTGCCAATGGGGCACTCCTGTTCTCCACCTGCCCAATTTCACCAGCCCCTAGTGGACCGTACTCGAGTATTTCGGAGGGGAGTTTAAACTCCCTTTCCATCCCATTGCTTCGAGCCCAACAAAATAACCTAGGGCCAATTGACCCTCTATGACCCCCCAGACACCCGAGTGCTATCATAATTTCTTTTACTCTTCAACCGCCACGTGTTTGACAGGCGGGACATCTTTATGTTTCCTTGCGCGGCTGACGTATTATAGTGTGCAAACTTCGGTAGGTACTGTAGGATGGTCCACCAGTGGGCCAGCTTTGATGACTCTTAGTCTAACCCTTTTCACACCTCTCTTTGACGTTGTTGGGCCGGTGGGAAAAACTAAGCGAGTTCTTATCTACTCGAGTAGCGTACTCGAGTGCCTCATGGAAGGAGCAGAGAAGGAAGAGGAAGAGATAAAAAAAATTCCCATCATACCGGTTCATGGACCCTAGCACCGGAAAATGTCGTGATGGTGGCTTCTTTCTATGATGCTTTTACTTTAATATAAAGTAGGATACAACTACACCCTAGCACGGGGGTTAGATAAATGTACGGTCATTACCGGTACTTTGTGCGTACCGTATCTGAACACCCGTTCTAGGTCCGCAGTCTAATGTTTGGGTGTCATACGTCTTATCTGCTATCATACTTGCCTTAGGCCATAGGGACCCCAAAACTAGAGGGGTATCATATTTTCTGTTGGTGCTCAGATAGGAACGGGCTCTTAGGATATATGCATTCAATCCCTGTGTTCGGGTATTCGAGCACTTCTGGCCTAGGACAAAAAATTACCTGTAATTCCTGCGATTTGTCTTCCGTTTGCTTGGGCGTCATGATAACAACCAGGCCAGGGTTGATAGGAAGTTTCACGGTGTTGGAACGGTGCAGCCATGGTCCCTTCTCAAAGCCCATCTGGTTGGGTTGACGATAAGCCCCCACCCAGCCGGTAGTCTTGGCCCAACCGTTTCTTTCTTCCCCTGTTGAAATTTTTCCCAGCGAGGTGCCATGCCAAACATGATCCTACCGTACCGGTCTTCCAGAAAATTTCCTTCATTTGCCTTCGCACTTGGCCATTCCGGTTTTCCTCTGGGCTGTCCTGGGAGGGAAAAACCAAAAAACCAAAAACGATAAGAGCTTTCTTGTTCTGTTGGCATTGTTAATGGATTCGTTACCGCGGTTTCATAAATCATCTAAGGTCCAGAACCGGGGGATACAATACCGGTATTCGTGCTATCGCTACGGTCAACGGGGGAGGGAATATTTCGTACATACTTGCAATCTGATTATGCGTGGTCTGCAATTTAGCAAAAACTATTGGTCATGCAAGAGCTGTTCTGCTCGGGGAAGCGGCGGGGCTTACCGTGAGCAGCAGGGAGGTGCTGCCCGCCAGATTGCCTACCGGACCGTAGGTGAATGGTGACACGGAGCGCAAGGTCTGTGGTCCTGAAATTGGGGGCTGGAATTGGTGCTGCTGCCCTTGTAGTCTGGATGGAGCTGCGGGGGGTGGGCCCTGCTGCGAAGGGACAGGTGCTTAGGTCGGTCCGCACGAGTGCATACGTACGAGTACCCCCCAGCGCTATATCCGTCGGGCTACGGCGATGCCGAGAACTTATGCTACTATATGTACTGGGAGGTGGAATTGGTTTTTGTCAGTACCACCTGCCCGATCCGTTAGCCGGCATGTCAATTTTGATGGGGGTCTCTGTCGCTCTTATGGCGTCGTATACAGTCTGAAGGTATGATATGCATTGAGCTGATGGCCGTTGCATCTCGATTCTCAAGGTAACGCAGCTCTTCTGCACTGACCGCGGGATGAACTCACTTTTCGGGCCATATTTTCCGGGCTCCTCGGTCCTGTATGTTTGCCGCCTTTCTCGATATCATGTCCTCTGCCCCCTGGACTGCTGAAATGGTGGAAATTTTTGTGCCACCCCCGTCAGTATCTGCAACAAAAGGGTTAATAAGCAACCTTTTGTTATTACTACTCGAGTACAGATTCTCAGATGTGCAAATTTCAAACCATTGCTAATCCTAGCCATGGTCATACCATATCATGCTATATATGTATGACACCGGTATAATCCGTCTGGCCCGTTTCCCAATTAACGTGGCCTTGGGTTGGGGTACGCAATTCGGCATGAAACGCATTGATATTCATAGAGCTGGCACCGTATTAGATCCTAGGTTATTGCTGAAAACCATCAAACAAGCCAATCATTCCTCTCCAAGTTCGATTTGAAGAGCTTGCCGGAGGCCGATGAGATCTGAAACCACGTGGAAGCAACTCTCGCAGTTGTGCTCGAGCCTCGAATTTTATAAATAGTGTGGTAAGCTACCGTTATTCTCCCTGCAAGGCCTCACGAGAACAATTGCGAGAAGGGGTCGAGCCTCGTCGATCTTATTATTTTTTTTGCGGGGTTTTGCATCTGGTTGGCTATTTATCCACGGAATTTGACGAGTAGAATCCCGACAAACGCCAGCTGCTTGCGATGTTTTCTACATGTTTCTAACCTTACTTAACCAATCGAAACCGCTTTTTGAGGCATTGCCATTCAGGTTTACCCATTATTTCCCGAGCCAACCTCAGCACTCTGGAGCAGCCGGCAGTTGCCGTTTGGGCAGGATGGACGGTTGTCGGTTGGGGCATACCGGTTCGGTAGCGCGGGCGTCTAATGCGGGCCGTTTATTTGGTTTCATAAACTACGGAGCGCAACGAATCATTCGACTGTTTTAGACACCGCCGCCTCGGTTTAAATGCTCACTACACTACTCGTACTTGCCTACACATTCCAAAAGGATCCGGAAACCTTGGCGCTTCCCAGGCCTAAACCGTGCCCAAGTTTCAGCATGCCTTTGGAAGGGGCAAGTACAAGTGGGTACTACCGGTATACGCAGAGTCGTTCTTTGTTTTTCCTGTCTTTTCGCTCCCCGGGTTCAGTTTCTCTATTCGTTTTATGTGCCCCCCTCATATTCACAAGATCTATATTTAATTACTATACAGTACTTGTACCGTTACCGTACCAGCAATCCTTTAGCACTCGTATTAATTATTTGGCTTGATATCGTTACGATACCTGGAACCAGACACCGGACCCATGATCGGGTTTCGGATCAACCCCTACCAATTTGTCCTTGGAAATGGCCGGATCCCTCTCACCATCTCTCCCAGCCATTCCAGGTCCCTTGGTTCTTCAATTCTTGAGACATTCTCTCGGTTATACTTTAGGCCCTCGATCGCGCTAGCCTCGTCCAATCATGTGTATCGCTTCTACGGCTAGCGGAGGATCCTTTCTTTTCTAGGGCAAGGCTCGTCTTAAAGAAAAACAGTCGGCATCCCTTCGTATTCCCCCCCCATCGAACTGCCTCGGCTGAATTCTAATCAACCTTTTTCGTTGATCGAAAGCCGCTAGGATTACTCCACCTTGTGCTACTGGTACAATTTACCTCCGAAATCTCTTCCCTCAAACACATGGTGTGGGGTTTGAAACGAGACCTTTTGAACCTATCAGTCGAGGAGGGTACTCGAGTACTATAGATAGTACTAGTACGAATACATGTTCATCCCATGTTAGCCACGCCTCAGGATCACTAATACTGTAACCTAGACTATGCCTTTTATGGCCTTCCGGGGATTGGGCCTGCGTTCAATCCTTACGGATATTTCTCGTTTTACGTTATTGACTCAGCGAGGGGCACACAATCGTGCTTGGGGGGGGGGTCATAGCCGTCGCCTTCGTCGCGGTCTGGATATCTAGCAAGCTAACCCTCAACCGAAAGGTCGACCCGAGTGATACTTAGTGATGAGTGGGTGAGCTGAGAAAAATCTGCAAGAAATACAGGATCACGCAACGCTCGATCGAACGGGCTATTAGAGGGTTACAAGTATCCGATATGGGGTAGTATTGGCGCTCATATGTGTGCGGGTGGTTTGCCATACAAAGTTTTGGCCCCTGTGTTCGGGTGCTTCATACCGGATACTTGTGCAACCCCTCCTTTTTATTACTCGTACTGGGGTAATGACCATTTGCTGCTGTCTTTTGATTCCCCCTTGTTAATATCAAAGTGTCTGTATAGTACCGGTACTAGTACAAGTGCCAGGGGAGATATTTTTGTTCGAATTAGGGATTGTGTCGCAGGCTAACCTGAATTAACTGTTTACTAACTTTATGGTGGGTGCTTGCCAGTGCACTGCAATACCGGTACTCACAAACACAGCCAATCTACGACCTCATTGTACTTGTTCATACAGTGTAGTACGCAAACTGAGCTCACGTGCAAGATATTGTACTCGAGTAATGAAAAGCCATCGACGTTATTACCCCCCTCCACCCCCTTCCTCCCATAGTTCGGTACTTTCCGGCCGATGAAGAACTCCCCAAAATGCTTATTGGCGGGAAATAGAGGTTAAAATTTCGATTAGATATGTTTTTTCTCCTTCCTTCCTTTTTTAATTTACCTTTTACGGCATGCTGTTGAGTTGCGTTGCTCTCGCTATTGCTATGATTTGTATGGATAGCGGTCGAAATAAAATTGCTGATTTAAAATCTGGGGAATTCCACGTGGTGCCAAGACCCATGAGGATTGGGAATTCTTCTCACCCTTATCCAAGACGCAGGATTAAGGGGGTGGGGGGGTGGGGGCGGATGGAGGAGAAAAAAAGTCCTGTGGTACCGTATCATATCGTTAAAAGGGGAATACCAGAGTGTACATACCGCAAGTGGTTAGAGAGTTTGGGGAATGAGGCAGACGAAGGTGGAGAATTGTGGAGTCACTCGAGTAGACAAGTGCTCGTACATCCCGGGTGCCGATGCCGAAAAGGGGGGGGGGGAGTTGATGGTAGAGAGTGGCTTTTGCTGATCGATATAATATGCCATTCTGTGCTTGTACGGTACTTTTAGAGGGAGAATTTCGTGGCGAGAAGGAAGGGATTAAGTGGAAGGAGAGGAAATCATGACTTAACCCTACTTGTAAAGATGGACGAATACTCGTGAATGTTACCTATTACCGGTCTTCCTTTGAGGCCTATGTGCGATACTCGTGCTGCATCATACACGGGCTCGAGCGCGAGACGATACTCGAGTACTTGCCGGTACAAGTGTGTCATACTCGTGCTCTACACTTGACTCAAGGCAGAGAGAATGAGAGGAAGTAAGGGGACGGCCTACCGTATGCCCGAATTGTTTAGGCCGTAGGAATGGTAAGAATACCTGAGTACCGGTACAGGACGAGTATCAAAAGTTCCTTACTTCCCATCTGAGGGAAAAAAAACGCCCTTTTTTTCTTTTTTTTTCTTTGCATGATACTGTGCTTGAGTAACGTTTCCCTTATTACAAGTATTTGTCGAGAGTTATTTTTAAATAGTGTGATTTATGTAAGATATTCTACCATTACCTCGCCTACATACAGAAGCTCCACACTGTCGCCAAGAGTCGGAGGGGAGGACAAGGACGAGCACTGTACAGTACTCGTACCGTATGATACAGCCACGGGTATCGTATCATATCGTGCTTATCAGCGGTACGACACTGTTACAGGTGATCAACAGCCCCATCATTTCTGTCCAACAACCAGGTTAGCATCCTCCCCGATCTCCCCCCACCCGTACGGCCCTCACCATTGCCAAAGATACAAGTACCGTACCCATCTAATGGTACCTGTAAAGTTACAACCAGCAGCCCCGTCTGCAAGTGGATGGGCAGACCGATCGCTCGAGTTTCCGCCAAACTGGCGGTCCTCCGCCCCCCCCCCCCAATAGAGAGGGAGCGAGCTCTTTGGTTGTTTCTGAAATTTTTAGGCTCAGCACGGTCCATGGGCTTTCTCCATTTCACGCAGTGGTAGGCAGAGCGGGTCTGTGTTGTCGAGCTTTTCAGAGACTTTAGCCCTAAGAAAAAAAATAGAAATCCGACCAGCACAGCTCCCCTGGGGCTATTGTACCCCTGCTAGGGGGAGATGTTGTCACTGTCTTGGCCGGCTTGGGAATTTTTCTATGAGCAAGCTGGCGGAACTCCTCGGGGGCTCTGGTGCAGTGCTGCGCAGTTCAGTGTGTCTGAACATTGAAATGCGAGTTTATGGTGGACGCTCGGATAGGTGGGGATTGCTTGCTTGCTGTGCATTTGTTTACTCCCTGTGAAAAGGCACGTACTTCTTCTTGCCTGCTACTTGGAAAGTATTGGTATGGTATGTACTGTGTGCTCTTCACATTTCGCTGCGATATCGGCTTCGGAGAGGTTGTCACTGCTGGAAAATCTCAAAGAGGAGGTTTTTCTTCTTCTTTTTTTGGCTTCTCGAACGAGACTTCCCGCTGCCCTCTTTTCTTCCTCCTTTTAGCTGTGGGCTTCGCCTCCGCGAGAGAAACGGTATGGATCCATACTGTGGTTTTGGGGGAATGAGAGTAGTATCATAATATTATTATACATGAAATAACTATTCGGTACGGTACATCTTACCCTCTTCCTTTCATCCGCCCTCCTTAGGACAGCACCGTACCTGGACGAGGTGAACGTCCGGCAAAATATACGATAATATCATACTAAAGAACAATGGAGAAGAAAAAAATGAGGAAGAGAACCTTGGAATCGAGGCTATGACCGGGGGAGGGTTGGAGGAGATTAAGCGCGGATGCTCTCATTATTTCTTCCTTTTTCCGCTTTACCCCCCGCGTGGGGGTGCGGGGGAAAGTCGTTTTTCATAATATCATGATGCATGCCGGGGTTCTCCCCGGGCGCTCTGGATCACGAAAGAGCACTCGGTCTATTCAAATCGGTTTCCGAGAGCAAGGAGAAGGGTAAGGATTATTTCTTACCCTATCAACTCGTCAAATTGGGCAGCACCTTGGCAAATTTTGATCTCCTCGCACGAGGGGTACCGTACTCTATTTGAGCCAATGCGGTACGGGAGGAGAGATGGAATGCCGGTATTCCTCGGCGAGGGGGATGGGGTGGGGGATTCTAGAAGGTGCCTTTCCGGGGACTGACGCTCTGGTGGGATTATTTTGTGACCTACGGGCCGTGTGGGAAGGGAATGTTCTCCCAAATTCTGACGGATTGGGAGGTTATAGGGGAATGGCGATGATTCAGCTGTTATGGGAGATTGGCTACTGGCCCAGTGTGTGGTTCATTCATTTCGGTATTTCTATTCTATTCTATTTTCTGCTAATAGTGGGCAAGAAAGTGTCCGAAAACGGGGGAGTCATGGATTTGCCTGGAGGCTCACATACCCGGCTGATTTGTTCGCCATATATTCCGGGAATCCCTGCTTTCGGGTACTTGCCTGCTACGGGTATAGAAGCAGTTCACTACGTGGTGTGCATGATCGTTCAACTATCCGGTGTGGAGTACCCGAAAATTTCAGTATGGATTTGGTATGGGCGGTTGGATGCGCAGGGGAAAATTTGCTGTTATCCCTGCGTTCGGGTACTCCATGCCTACTCGAGTACTGCTTGTGTCTTCTGGGGGGAAGGGGGGGAAGGGTTCTCAACGGGTTTCTGGGGGTGGTAGTTTCTACCGGATCTCTATGTTCCGAGGATAAATCCGTACTGTACGAGTACAGTACACGTTGTGCAGTGCCTTACCGACTAGCTCCCGATCCATTCAACAGGATCCCCATACTCCATTTTAATTTTTTTACTGTGTTTGTGATTTTTCTTCTTCCTTCCAATCCTTCACATTGCGGCCTTGTCTCCAGCAACGCTGCCAGCCTTCTTTCTTCCAGCAAGCAGTAGAACTCCTACCTGGCTGTTTGTCCGTTGGCCCTAGTCTTCACCTAACACAGCATGATGCGCCCCTGGCCCGTCAAGGGAGAATTGCGCTCGAGACACAATGGCCAGTTTGGCGAATAGTACATTCCTCCAATCACGCATACCGCTTTTTCCCATTGTTGCCCTGGGCGAGGGCACCGATTGGGATCGTGCGTTCTCCCTCAATGAGCTAGTGGTGGTATGATTTTCGCAGGGTTTGAAGCGGGGGAAGGAATGAAAAAGGAAAATCAAAATCAAAGCCAAAATCGGAAACTCTTTTTTTGATTGGTGAGGTGGACATGACTGCGGAAAGAGATGGCTTCATGTGAGAGCAGGAATTAGACTGTTTTGCTCAGTTCTTGATTGCACAGCAACATGCATATGTCAAGCTGGGATTATCATGCCTGTGGAGGATCGGAAGCACGAGGAGGAGGAGGGGGTGGCAATATGGGGAAGCGGTAGGTAGTGTGGGGGTTGTTGAGATATTTGGCGGATCCGGGCCGGAACAGTAAGGCTCTCTCCAACGATCCGGGTCTCCCACACTCGGTGTCAACATGTGCTCTTCATGGAACTTGAGTCTTCCGGAGCTTGGCGGTTGTTGTTGTTCGACTCCTCTTCGGGCTCAGAGTGGAGAAATATTGCGAGGTATACCGAGTGAGATCCCGTGAGCTGAGATGTTTTTTTGTCTGCGGGAGATGGGGTAATTTCCTAATATCAAGTCGGGTTGAGGGGGGGGGGGGGACGAGTCAGCTGTGAGCTCTGGAGGAGGAAATTTTTTTTTGAGGAATTACTATTCTCACTGATGGCTTCTGACATGACATGGCTTGGGATCGAGTTGTGATGTTGATGAACACATATTGTTTACTTCGCACTTGATGCACGCGTTGTGCATACTCGCATACCCGAGTACGGTAACATATAATAGTTATGATAACCCAGTGGATAGCTATTTATTACTCGGTTGGTTGATCAAATTTTCTTTCAACGGAGGGCCCAACCGTAATCCCCTTAAGTGGGACAGCAGTTTTTCTCAGCCAATCTTTTCTCAGTGGGTATGTTTGCGCCTTGACCTTCGACGCTACAGTACTCGTACAGGATCCTGTGCTGATGACATGGATCTTGCTAGTAATCACAATGATCCCGGCACCACTGGCTGGTACCACACAACAGCGTGTCATCACGAGCACTGCCTTAGCTCTGGAGAGCGGTGAAGGGGGAACGCTTACCGGTAACTCCACTCACGTTTTCCCTGCCACCCCCCCCCCCGAGTGAAGAACCACGAGGTAGGCAACCGCCCCGCTGACCCATGCGGTGGTAGCTATACAGTATAGCGTTCTCCTACCCGAATTCCTGCAGTCTAACCTCGAATCACTCCACATCTTT